TCAAGTTTTACTCTCTATTACATATTCTAATTCACTTACTATATATAAGTTATGATTATATGATCAAGTATTTAAACTAATACATTTACTATATCTTAATAAGTATATATTATACAAACTTAAAAAGCAAAAGTATATAGATAAAAAGCAAATATATGAAAGCAAAAAAATACAAAGATATAAAAGCAAACAGTAAATTAAAGTAAAAATGACAAATTATGAAAAAAGCATAAACTATTTATCAGAAAAGCCATAATAATAACAAACTGGTATATACTGTAGATTTAGAGGCAGGAGCTAGATATTCTTATTTGGTTTTAGCTAAACTAATACAATATGATTTTGTCTTTGCCATTGCAAAATAATAGACTTTTTGTAACAACCAGACTTTTGATTGTAGAGCAAAAAAAAACTTGCTTCAGGATTTGCATCAAATACTACGATTGGTATATTGAATATATCTAATGCTAATTGTGCATATTTTGGAGAATAGAACCAAAATTCCCAGGAGTATATTGGTTCTATACATATTACAATAGCTTTAAGTTAATCTATATTATATCCAAGTTTATTGTTATACAATTCTTTTTGATTAGTTAATTGATCTTTCATGGTAACTTTAATGTCTTGCTACCTTTCTTTATTTTTAAGTAAGACCACAGCTAATGATCTAAATCTACAATGATCATCTGAAATTGGATTATATACTTGTAATATTATATCTTGAGAGATGGAAGAATTAGAATACATGCTAGAAGAACATAATGCTACTATGTTACTTTTTTGTCTAATAGAAACTTTTTTGAAGTTTTCTTGTCTTCATCTTTGCTATGCATACGTTTGTTATTCTGTGGTTAACCATATCCACATTTAACTATTGGCATCTTGATATTATCATAATTTAAATTATCAATACTAATGTCTTAAATATACTTTCATGTATGAAATTTGAACTACTTGGTAATAACTCTAGTACTTTTCTATATTCAATAACATGATTAGAAACTTGCTACATTAGATCTAAAAAGTTATTGTGATGAACCTTCAGAATCTGCTTAAAAATTTGTATAATATTTGAATAGTCAGCATGTTCGGTTTTTTCACAATTTTTTACATACCAACGCTGATGAATTTCACTTGAAGGAACAGAAGTATATAAAAATAATAAATAAATTGAAATAATGTATTAGCAAGAAGTTCTAGTATATTGAGAATACAGATACGTGCAAGTACTGGAAGCTCTGATATGTACAACATGCATTGTATTAACTTTGTCATCAATGTATATTATATTATATATGCTGTTGTTACTTTCTGAGACCTTATAGATACCAGACTTTACAAAATCACCTTGCAGTTTTACAAATATTTCAAATATGAATTGTGAACAAACTAATCTTAGGTTTTCCAAACCCGAATCTCTACTATTATTTATATGCTTATTCTGATATAAAAATGTTTCGTAAACAATCTTTTGGAAACTTTCTTGTAATTGTCACTAAAGAGTTGTAAGTAATCTGTTACAGTATCATAACCAAAATAAAATTTAGATAATTTGGATAAAATAACAAATATCAAAGGCTTAATACTAACTTATCAATTGGAGTAACCCGATTTTTAACTCTCTTAAGTTTGCTATATATACTTTCTACATGTTGACTTGATTTGATATCAAGATTTATATTGTATTTTGTATATGATATGAACTAGCTATTTTTATAGAGTATCCAAGTTTCACACATATAAGTTTTTGCTTCTGGAAATTGTTTTTATAATGCTACAATCTCTTGATCAATTTGATAGTTTTCTAGATTATTATCGTACACAAGTTTTTGAATAATTTTAATGAACTCTTCAATATTGACAAGTTTTTTAAGCTTGCTTCTAATATTCTTGAAGATATACCAAGTATATAACTGATGCTGTATATTAGGGAATTCTTTAGAAATTGCTTTCATGAGTACTAATTCATAATCAGTTATTATTGTTGCCACTTGCGTATTATCTAATAAATACAAAAAAAAAGATAATAAAATAAAAAACAAATAAATAAAAAATAAAAATGAATGAATCAAACAAACAAAAAAAGTAACAAATAAAATAAAAAGAATCTGTAAAAAAAAATTAGCGAATAGAATAAGTTACTTATTAACTCAATTAATATCTTATTTAATTGCTACATTATCTAGCAGTAAAGTCAACAGTTTCAGAATATACAAATGCAAAGGCTAATGAGTATATGAATCCAAATTTATTAATGCTACAGATGACTATCAATGGCATGGAAAATCTGTTGATCTTGTATATAGCATCAATAATAAGAACATCCTTTGCAATCATAAATTCAAAAAATGTATTATGGTATGCCCAAAAAATTTCTTGAACAAATTCACCATTTTGATCTCTTTTAGTATTATAAGCTGCTTTTAATACAGTATACCCTAAGATATTTTTATCATCATATAAAGTCTTAAAGAGCATTTTAATCTCATTCAAGCCATGAAGTTTATACTAGTGATGATGACTTATAGCATTATAAATATTAGGCTTGTAAATATACTTGCAGCTTACTGAATTAAGTACAGAAAATATATCTTTGGTTCTTAATCTATCATCATAAAGTTTTTTAATCAAACCAAGATCACCTTTATCAAATTTACATGCAACAGTGCTGAATTTTACAGTGTTCAAACAGGGCTCATGATTATGCTCCAAATTTGATTTTATTATAGCAAATTTTTAAGAGCATTTGCAGTAATTTATAGTAATTGCAAAGAGTATCTAATATGTTTTATTGTATATTCTTCATTTGTTTTGCTATAATTGCCTTGTTTTCACAAACAAATGTTGCTTGTCTATAGTTACTATTATCTGAATTTTGTGTTGTTTTACCTAAATTACAACAGAATTTGTTTGTGTAGCATATCACTCGATTGTTGTATATGCTTTAGAGAAAGTATTAAAAATGCCTTTCGACTCTATACTACTACTATCTATATGTGTTTCTAAAGTATTTTTTGATTTAAAAATACTATTATTCATAAAAACTTTATTAAAAGTTTCAAAAGTACATTTTGATACTATAGCATCCTAGCATATTTTGGCTTTATAAAATTTGTAGTACTATAATATATATGATTGTTAAAGGTTTCAAAGATATATTCTAACTTTATAATATCAGTATTTATATATATATCATCAGGGGTCTGATAGATAAATTCTGATTTTATATTATTAATGATATCAACAAGATCCATATTATTAATGATATTAACAGAACAATCTACTGCAGAGTAAAGTTTTTTTTCACTTTTAAATATATTTCATTTAACTTTTATTTATTATATCATATGCATTGATCTTATATATTATTGCAACTCTGATCTTTTGATTAATATTCCGAAATATATTATTTCTTAAAATTTTAATTCTGAAATGTAATTTTACAATTTTATTAGCTACACTAAATTGATGTATATGATATTATACAAACTTAAACTAATGTAATATCTAAAATTTTCTGCAATTTTATTGGCTAAGCCGAATTAATGTACATAATATTATATAAACTTAAACTAATATAATATTTAAAATTTTTCACAATTTTATTGGCTGAGCTGAATTGATATATACAAAGTTACACAAACTGATATACAAAAAAAGTTGCTGTTAAAAAAATTAGCTTTACAACTTTTATTAAAAATTTAAAAAATTTTATTATATAGAATTTTTGCTATTTATATTTTAGTAATTTTTGTTTATAGTTTTTATAATAGCTATAATTTATAACTTTTATTAAAATAGCTAACTTTTAAATATACCAAAATAAAATATAAATAGAGGATTATATATTGGATAAATTTAATTTAAAGTTAATAATAATTTTTTTTACAATTTGACTTTTAAAACTATACTAAATTTAATATATTGTATTAAATTTAGTATAGCAAATGGATATCTATTAACAAATTTAAACAAAAAAGTTCTAATTGTTTATGAAATTAATATGGTGCAGGAAGTTTTAACTCTCCGATATAATAGATGATCTTTAAAATTTATTAACTCCTTAAAAAATTAAAATTTTAAAAAAC